ATAATACCCAAGTAGAAGTACTTTGTGAAAGATCACATCAATTAGTTTTTTTTTTAACCTGATGTAAAGATATTATATGAGGATTATTTAAAAAAATTTTTGAGGAAGAATATCACTGTAGGAACTTGGTGGTAAAAAACATCCTTTGTAGTATTTTTGAAGGAAATGATTGATCAGTGCTATGAACACCTTGTATGCGTTAAAACCCTTACTAAACAAAACTATTATATTTTCTATTTGTAGAATAACCAGCACCAGAGACTTTCAAAGAAGTGAGAGAAAGAATAACAGGATAGAAGGTGCTCATGTGCAAATAATTCATGAAAAATTTTCTACATGGAAAAGCTTAAAGAAAAAGAGCAACTCTGACACATATGAAGGACTATTTTTCAAAGGCAGTATTGTAATAACCTAATTAGGATGACATTACTTATCATTTCTATTACCTTGAAAATGTAGCTAGATAATGTCCAAACTAGCAAAGGATGTTCTGTCTGTGGTTATGCTACATCTATAAGGATATCTAAGGCTACTAAGGCTATCCATAATTATGGTGGTTCAGTTTTGCCCTGTGTTCACTGATAAAGGGCACTATTATAAAGAGCAGCAAAGCTCTACAGATTAACTTAGTGAAATACTATGAAAGTAGTACATCTCACTACAAAAATCCCTCTTATGAATGCAAGTGGAGAACGTGGAAATAAACTAATTTCCTCAGAAAAAAATAGTAAACTTAGTAATGAGATTTTAAAATTAATTTTCTTGTTGAACATTGACATTGAGTTTATAGTATGGGATGTGAATTTTCACGGCAAGGAAACTTATTCCTCTCTCAGTTCTGATAATGATAAAAGGCTGTGTTTTGTACTTACAGATTCCTTATTATCCATGATTACCTTTTCAACATAGTTTTTACTTATTTCTGAAGGTATTCTTTGTATGACAACAGTTTCCATGTAAACCTACAAAGATTCTAAGTTGGCAACTGTAATCTAGGATTTGGAATCGAGTTTGAGAATGATTTTAACCAAATTCGTAGTTCTAGAAGTGAGGTTTTGTCTACTTTTATAGAATATAAAATACTGTTTAAAAAGTCACTTGGAGAACAAAAGACCATTATTTAATTTAAAAGTCAAATTATTTATTTTACCTGATATTTCTTCATGCCACAGATCTCATTTGCTTTGAAATCAGTTTCTGAGACAGACTGAGTAAATAACAAGTTTCTCTGGCAAAGTCACATTTTAAAATTGCCAACCATTTTCATTTCAAATATAGCAAATAATTATGTTAAGGGCTTGCAACATATTCACTAGATAAAGTCCACGTCATATTGGAAATAAAATATGTATAATAATAATTTTTTTATTTTATATAAATATATTATAATATACATTTAAATCTGATTATTACAAATAATTGCTCTTCCAATATAAATTTACTTACCATATCCAATAGGCAACAAAATTTTCCATGTACAATCTAAGTTACTGGGGTAATTTCCAGGAAAACCTGGGCTCAGGATCACACCAGCCATGTTTGTCAGTGTTCCACCACATTTAGCTATTAAAAAGGAAAAGAAAATCACTGTATCTTTTATTAATATTATTTCTTAGTATTTGACATATCCTTAATTCAAAATGGATTTTTCATTTTGCTCCCATGACCCAAAAGCAGTGAAATTTATTATAGTCAAAACACTCCACATGAAGGAGGAAAAAAAATGGAATCAGTTCAGAGCAAAATCTTTACTTAAGGTGATGTCTTTACTGGAATATAACTACAAATGTGTAGTTGCACGTATAGACAGGACAACCCATTGTCTCAGCTTCGCAATTACTGCTAAAAATGTCTGGTGATATGCTGAGATATGTTTCACAATCAGAGGAACAAATCTAGAATTAAACTGAATTATGATCCCAAATCATGATGCAGCAACAAATCTAATACTCAATATAATAAAAAATACACTTGAATTTAAAAACAAAATAGCAAACAAACACCTCCACCACAGTTTTTACTTTAATTCAGAAAGACAATAGACTTGCTGCGTAACAGAATAATTCTTGCTTTCTATTGGTATGCTTCTATTCAGCAAATTCATGTTTGGAAATTGAAAACCCAATTGCATTATGTAGGATGACGTAAAGCAAAGCTATAAATATGTGAAGCAACTTGCAAAAAAGTGTCTGAGTTTATACATACACTAGGACAGCAGTATTAAGTAAGAATAACTTTAAGAAATAAAATTAGAATATTGTAATTTATATTTAGTACTTGAGGAGTCATTACTTTAAGGCCTGTGAGTCTTCTTGCCAGGCATTACATTAATACATGATCTGATAACACAATTATGATACTGTGATACTGTCTGTTGTAATAACTGCACTGATTTTTGTTTGCATTCTATAAAAATGAACAATTTAAGTGTTAGAGGCAAGAGAAGAGGGAAGGTTATGTTTTAATGGTTTGTTTCTTTTCTTAGGGGTATTTTAGCTCCCAGGATAGCACAATTTCATAATTCAAAGAGCTCAATGTTTGCAAAAAGGAACAATATTTAATATGCAAGGTGAAACATAAGGTTACCATAAAAAGAAACAACAAAAAGTGCCCAGAGCCCAAAACACCCCTCCTTGAATACATTTTCCATTTCTAAAACTTATTGGAAGGAAATGTACTGCTTTCATATCAATCAAAAGAGACTGTTTTGTAGAAGCAATACAAAATAATTTGACAATACAAAATAATGTATGGGCTGAACTTGACAAGGAATCTATAAATTATTTCACATTAGTGTTGTTCAATATCATTCCAATATTTTGAATTCCTCTGAGATATGAAACTAATAGAACTAGCTTTTGCTGATTGAATATTGAAATGAAAAGCTTTCACTGAAGAATGTATTTCAAAGCTAAAGCGACAGTACATTATGATGGACTTGTGCTTCTCACCCCTCACTTCCTGCTTTTTCTTGAAGTAAACATACCAAAATACAGTAGAATCTTGACTGTCTTAAATTTTGTCTAATCAAGAAAAAATATGGCAGAAGATTATTTCCTACGCACAGAAGACCCAGATCTGTTTGGCTAAGGTCTAAATGTACTTAAAAGGAAAATGCTTTTTAGCTTTACTTTTCAACTCAGCATCACTTATCAGATGACATTTCTCAGATGAAAAGAGCCAGACTTTTCTGGATCCCTAAAACTCCTTTTCATTCCACCACTCCTGAAGGCTTGGCTTCAGAGCTGCTCTCTAGTGCCTGCTTAGGAAATCTCCTAGGTGCCCTGCACAACCTGCCTGGCTCCTAAGTTTTCCAAGCTGAGCACCCTGCAAAAGGAATCTGTTAACTTCCTCTCCTTTATGAAGAAGGTTCATCCTGATTCAAAGGAGTGTAGTCAGGGAAAGCTACAAAAATGGTTAACATATGGATTTCCTCCTTTACCCACTCTCACAATATTTTTTTAAATACCATTTAACCATATATAGATAAAAAATTTTCCTTTTTAAAAAATTGTTTTCATATTTCATAGATACAAATGGAAACTCAAAAAAGTTTTGAATGAAGCAGAATTAAGTTGAGGAATAATGGGCATGACAAGGTCAGGAGTTTCTTGTGACTGATGGTCAGAAAACTGAAAACAAGTTTCCATACCAATGCAGAGAGGAGATGGATAGTTCCAGCGTCGAACTGTTCCTGGCATACAAGAAATATGAGAACGCCCCTGTTTGGAAAGGGCAAAACATCAGATTACAGATACTCATTTATGGGACTTTCCTGAAAGATAGAGCTACAGAGGACCTCCTGGATAATCTAATCAGTGTATGTTCTTATATCAGCCAACTACATGATAATTACTTCAATGAAACTCTATTTTCAAATAGTTCTGGTTTTATGTTCTCATTTTGCTATTGAATAAATGTTCTAAAGTAACTTTCCTGTAGCAACTTGGAAATTTCTTAGAAATATTATTATAAGATGGAAGCAGCTACCATGTGCACTCATATAGTCTGATTAGTTCACTGCCTGTTTCCATTCCAGTGTATTCCAGCTACAGGGAAATCATAGTGTTTGATTTTCATGCTGCAATCCAGAATGAATCAACCACTGCTCTGCATCAGTAGTACAGACACAGAGAGGAACTGGTTCCACATCTACTTGCTACAGATGTTCCATGTGGACCATGCTAAGACTGTTATCAGCAACTAGCAGCAGGTCTTGCCCTCTCACACGGCCTCACAACGCGACCCACTGCATTCGTGCAACATCTTGGCAGACAGCTGCAGAAATACAAGTGTCTCTTTATTTAATAAATGTAAATAAAGAATGTCTCTTTATTTAGCTGTTGTGTTTAATTTACTCTGCCTATTTTTAAGAAAAAATCTCAAGAACCAAGCAGACTCATGTTGTGGTAGGAAGTCAATCAAGACATGGGTGTGTGTAACTTGTACAGTCCAATCCCACATACCTCAGGGTGACTACCTAGGACCAAAATGCTCCCATCTTTGTTTTCCCTAGGAACAGTTCAAACTGGAAACTTAACTAGCACAAAAAGTCTTTTTTTTGGTCAATTCTGTCCTTCAAGATACTCAGGCTATGCATTCTGCTGCTGAAATCCAAAAGCTGAATAAACTGACAGGAGTAAGAACAACTGATATAAAGATTGAGACACAGAACTGAGAACAAGGTTTAGTTTCTGTTTTAATAATTTGGATGTACAGACTCATGCAGGTTACTTAACATCCCTAATTTATTTTTGGCAAGTGTTCTATGAGTCTAAAATTTAGTAAGGCAGCACATCTTATCAATATAATATGAAGATTTATTTAAATATTATTTGTCCATAGCAATCATAGTATCATAAAAATTAGAAAAATAAAGAATAGGTAAACTGCAGTGCAAGAAAATCCATTTGATGACATTTCTCCCACATCATTTGTAATGCTTACACATTACCTTGAATAAAGTTCATATAGAATTGCGTGGAATAAAACTACTTTAGTTAATCATTTTGTTAAGTATATTTAGGCAATCATCTTCTGAAAGCCAAACTGAAATATATCCAGAAAATTACTTGGAAGGAAAAAAAGGATCAGTTTTCACAAAAAGAGTGAAAAATAAATAAGTTTTTTTCTTCTAAAAAGAGTCCAAATTGATAATTCAATAAAAATATTTTTCTTAAAAAACCTTTTTAAAGGAAAAAATTTCCATGCACTTACTGTGTCATATTAGTTACTTGCAAAATGGATGAAGTTTTGAATAATTTAATTAATGCAATATTCCCTGTTTTACTCCCTCTTTCTAGAATCCATTATTGCATTGTTTTATTTTATTTTTTTTAGTTTTCTGTGATTGCATATCTCTGATGTGAGTCAAGGGGGAAGCCGTAATTTAACTACCACAGTCAGGAAAAACGTAAAATAGCCTATAAAGGATCTTTTGAAAAATAAAATTAAATGATTCCTCTAGCTTCAAGCCTCTTTCCAACAAGAGCACACTCTGATTTCAGTCTTTTAAAGTTCCCTCCTGTGGGGAGACACTTAATCCTACAGCTAGCAATTACCTTTCTTATGCATCTCCAGGTAGTAGTTTGAGCTCTATGACTTTTCTGGTAAGTCTCAATTATAAACTAATCCACAGCTAGCTGTTATTGCTAGCTGTGAATATGTTCTCTACAGATTGAGGATAAATTCACAGCTAGAGGGAAAAAAAAAAGATTCTGAAAAGTTATGCTGGTCTCTACTTGTTGAATAGCAAACATACTGTGCCCCATAGAACATTATTTTCATTATTATTTCTTTTTAATTTGGCTCCATTTTTACATGTCATGAGTTACATGCTGCATAAATAGATATGTATGTACTTTCTTCCAGCAAAGTCCATACAACATAGCAATTCTCAGCAATATTTTGAAAAGATTCAAACTCTTTTCTATTGAATTTGCATATTGATGACCTTTTTTTTACACTTTAAACAAGCTCATGAAACTACTTTTTATATATGTCAGCTTCCACAGTTAAATTAAATTTTTAGATGTATTGAAAAAGGTTTAGACTTGGAATATATACCGTTAAGATACAATATGCTATAAAATTTTTTAAAACTATTTAATAGTTTCCTAGCTGTAGGATAGAATCCCTGTAATAATAATATATACAGTTAAGGAACAATATGTATCCATTTCTAATCATGTAATTAAAAACAGAATAATGATGCCCTTTTTAAAATATTCAAAATTTAGGCATTTCCTAGTTGAAAAAGGTAGGGACAGAAGAGTCTGCAATATGATGAGCAATACAAGTAGAGGTCACCCCTCTAAATCTAAGCAGTTTCAGGTTTGATACCTGTGTTAAACTTTTGATATCACTGACAAAGGACAGTAAGAGTAAAGTTCCTGTTCTTAGTATGTGTCATTCCTTGGAGGAGTATGGCTGCTTATCTCTAGTGTCACAACGAAAATATAAACAGCTGACTGAGATTATGTGTCTGTTTCTTATATTAAATAAATTGTATTATATGTTTCTCCATCTCCATAGGAAACCATTAGTATAGGCTTAGTTTTTCACTTTTTTCCTGTCAGATCACTGCTATAAGCTTAGCCATAAATCAGATGTTTGCCTAAATGTATTTCAGTCATAACAGCTCAGAAGCAGTGACCTGGATCACAGCAATGAGGCACTAAAAAAACACCTCTTGGCAATTATATGAATGGCAAATATATAACAGCCCTACCAGCAGATCTTGATTCTTTCCCCATAAAGCGGAACTGAATAAAAATATATAAAGAATTGCACACAACTTTTCTACAAATATTAAAAATAGGAACTTTTCTCAAAAAAAAAACCCAAAAAAAACCCCAAAGACATTACTTTTTAATCCAACAATTCTTAAAATACAGTTATATTTATTGTTGTGTAATCAAATTTATTACAGGCTGACTTCCAGGTAGATTCTGCATTGAAATAGACTGTCCTGAGTCTACAGATGAATACTGCTAAAATCAGCTCAATGCATATAAAAACACTAAAAGAACATATAAACTACATCTATACAGTGGAATTGTCTGGGATTGAGTGCAAATGCACAGTGATTTGTATATCTACCGCCTTAACTTTTTTCTTCTGAATTTTTCTCTAAAAATGTGCCGCAATGCAAACTGCCTGTGAGGAATAGTTTCTGGCTTGTGATAATTACTGCTGTTATATTTCAGCTAGGCCAAAATCATGCCAGCATGCCATTCGACAAATAAATAGTGCTGAAGATGAAATTTTAGTTCCCATATCATTGCCTCAACTATGGGAATATAGGTATCGACACATAATATGTCCCTTCATCAATTGCTTAGTTTATTGTTACTTTTTTTTTTTATAGAAAACTGTTAATGGCTCAATAGCTCTATAAATGAAAGTCTAAATCTATTTTGGTGTCAACTTTTAATGACAGATAGTCCTTCTGAAGTGACCATGTGATAAAAATGTTATCAAATCTCTCATTTTCTTACTGACATGCTAACTACAAAGGATACTGTAAGGAAAAAGATGAAATACAGAAAATAAAGTTTAAAAGTCCAAAAGTTATTGGGTTTGTACCATTAGATATTCTCAAAATAATAATAATTTTGGAAGAAAAACATTTAAGTAGTTCATATATGAACAATCAGCTGCATTTTAAGTAACCCACAAACTGTCAAATAAGCAATGAGTGCTCAGGGTGAATAGAGAGTTGGCTTTGTTGTGCTCATCAAATCTTTTCTAAGTAGCAGGATACTAGAATATTTTTTTTTTTCCCCTATGGATATGGAATGCTTCTGATGCAGGTTGTTTCAAGTCACATAATACAAATAAAGGGAATAATTTAGTTTTAATACTTAACCTATACCTGCCATACATGACTGAAAAGGTAAGTGTACTCCTGGTTACTTGGAGAGAGGTGTTTCATGTGCCTGTGTTCCCACAAGCAGCCTAGAGATGAGATGCTTAGTCTGAATCCTGCAAGAATTTTAGGAGACTGGTAAGAAATATGGAGACCAAGGAAATATCCTATATATGTTGTGGGAACACTTAATTCGCAGTCCTCAGATGGGGAACTTTATCCTTTTAAGGAGCAAAAGTTGTGGTGCTTTGCTTTCTTGGATACAGGTTTTACACTGTCTTGGGAGGGATCGACTAACAGCCAAACCCAAGTGTTCTCAATGTGGTTCTTACAAGTGGTGGATTATATACAAATAAATTAGAGAAACTAATGAGGAAAGAAAAGAAGCTTTTAGTCTTAGATTTACAGAGTGCTGAAACATTTACAAAGAGCAGCTCAGTGATATGTCTACCATGGGAAACTAAACCAGTGTGTGAACAGAGAACATCCCCAATCAATGAACTAATTCTTAACACTTTTCCATGAAAAATTTTAAGAGTAGATTTAGCATTAATAAAATTTCCTTTGAAATTAAATTCCACAATTTCTGAGCAGAATATGAAATCCCACAATGTATTTCTACATTAAAATTTCACCTAGAGAAATCAATCCTCCAAAAGGAAAGCACAGCACTCTATAGTATAGTGCTATAACAATTTTCTAGAAAAACAATTTTATCCATGTTATTTCAATGTCTATTTTGATGGCTTTTACTGCTCGATGTTTGTTGATGTGAGACAATATTTGCCAGATTTATTGAGGGCAAGAAATGCTACACATTTGTAGCTTTATAATTTGGGAGCACTCATATAGGCTCTACCTAAATGATCTCTATGTACACACTACAGACTCTTCATTAGAATACATTTTGGGCAGGCCTCTTGGCATTTTATTGAAATCATTCCACAGTGTGTTTTTCAAAGTGAAAAAGAAAGAAAGCAATACCTGTAATGTATATCCCGGCTCACACTGAAATGACAAAACATCATTCACCATATATCTATCTCCTGATTTGATCCCATTGCTAGGAATTACTGGCTCTGGACAGGCAGCAAGGCCTACAGCTGGAAAAAGTAAAGACCAAGATTGAGAAAACATAGATAAATGGACAGCAGGTCTTCATTGATATTCTCTGCCTTAATGAATTCTTTCCACAGAATTATGGGTTTTTATGGAAACATTAATTAGAAAATTCATTTCAACAATATACTGAAATTTTGTTTAAAACACGTAAGTTTTCAGAACTGTTGTGCAGAATACAAAGCATTATGGCTGAAGCACAAAGGTTATATACACTGTAACAGTACCAGTTAGTAGGTCACATTGCTGTGACACATTACACAGTTTTCAAGTCTCCAAAGCAGCACTGTGGTTTTAGTTTGTTAAAAAGCCTGAGCTCGGTTTGTTTGCTCGTTTTCCTTTATTGTTTTTCAATCCTTTCTTATCCTTGTGAAGAAAGTGGAGAGAGAAATGTACTTCTCATCACTCAAATATAAATGCTTTACAAATATTGAATGCAAAAATAAAATTTCACACAATTCCAACTCAAGTTTTAGCTGAAGTAAATATATTTTTTCTAATAAAGCACATGGAAGTCTGAAATAGATTTTATAGTTTCACAGTAAATTGGGATTGCTGTGCCAATTTTTTTTCTTTCTTGGAATTAAATTCTATGGTCCTGAATGTTCCTTGTTTGTTCTGTGCCCTTGAGTTTTACTATATTTCACTTTTATCAGGAACTAAGCTAATGACAAGCCATTCTAATTCTGAGTGAAAACCATTAAACCTTCATAACAAATGATGCAAGAGGTATCTAATAAAAAATTTTCAAATTAGCAAATAAAGAATTATTTAATAGTTGCAAGCAATGGGACCTCCCTGAAGTAGTTATTTTTTGTACTGAAGTGTATAATTTAGGAAAAAATCTAAATGCTTTTTAAAGATTTTCAGGAATTTCTGTCACAGAATTTACAAATTTTGAAATTCTTCCAATATAATCAACTTTCAAATGATGTTATGGTGACTTCACATGGCTGCTACTAGTTTCATGTGTGGTCACTATGAGGAGCTGTAGTGGTCCAAATAATCATGAAGATGTTGTCATTAACTTCAATGGTTTGGGCTTTGCTGCAGGTTAATTATTATTATTCTTTTGGTCAATCAGTCGGTATTCCACAGTACCATAAATGTATTCGTGTCTGGAAAATTCCTTTGAGTATAGGTACTAAATAGCTGTTATGTGCATCCACACAAACTGGTTTTTTCAGCATTAAGTGTAATGAGTCATCTCAATAATTCAAAGTACCGTAGATAGACTGCTGTTCACTAATTTGTGAACCCAGTGTTCAGATGCAACTTAAGTAAATTGATGCTGATTTCTGCATTTTCTCACTCTTCTCACTCTTGAATAGAAAATAAAATTTTAAAAGATCTGCTCCAACATCACTGTTATTAAATAGATGAACACCTAACAAAGACACAGTGACTAAATTGCTTACAGATATCAATGTACTTGCTGAATTCTGTGAATATAAATTTGAGGTTCCCTTCCTATCATCAAGAAATTTGTATTTTGGAACACAGCATTCCTGTATGTTGAGAGTAGCAGGACTGCAGGCTTGGATCTGTATGAATAAAATTACTTTTTTGCATTTTTCTGAGTTACAGAAACAGCTAATACAGTGGCTGCAGAGTGGTACTAATAATATTCTTTTTATATAGCTTATTCCATCATTGATCAAATAGCATACAGAATTTAAACAGACTATGATCAATCAAAAACCTTCAAACTTTCTATGTAACTTTTAGATATTGTAGTATATTATGTATTTAAAAAATTCTAATAATTAGGTAAAAGATTTTTTTCTGCTAGCTGCTTATACTTTTTGTAACATTTCATATATAGTACTTCTTTAGTCTGATGATGCCAATTATAGAATATTCTATCAGAATGACATAAAACACTTAGACTTTCTTTGATATACCTGATATTAAGAAGCAATATTACCTTCCCAAAAGCAATAGAAAGTTGAAAGCAGAATCAAATACTATTCTGAATCCGCAAATCCCTGTTATTCTAATCTCTCCTAATACTACTGCAGTGTAGTTTGAAAATTGGTTTAATTAGAACAGGTCCAAAAATCAAAAGAATGCTTGAGAGAAAGCAAAATTCTGGTATCTGAGGACAAACTAGGAAATATTCAGAGACTCTGAAATACATTATTAAACTAGGTAGTATGTGAAGAGTTGGTAATACAGGGAAAACATGTTAAATGTCAAGTCCAACCAATCAAAAAAGAACAAAGATTTCTTAAGTGCATGTTTTTCAGAGCTCAGCTTCTGCTATGCAGTACAAAAGATAACATATCAATGTCAAGAGTGATAACCCTCTCCTGACTTTCTTTCACTTACTGTTTGCTAAACACTTTCTTGACTCTACTGTGGCATAAGACAAATATGCTTTACTTACATAATTATATCCATGCCTATGATTACCTCAAATTCTGTCCAAACATCACTGCCATTGCTGGCTGAAATAAAACCCTTGCTGGCATATCTGACAATTTGAATGCCCATTAGTGTCCATTTCAGAAAGCTGAGAACTGGGCAGTACAAGAATGTCTTGACAGCTGGACCAAAAGTCATCAGGCTTTCTTTTTTTTAATCCCTCCCACCCCCAAGCAGCTAACGGAAACATATTATGCTTTATTATATTACAAACGTCAAGCTGGAGTGAATTGTTCTTTCCATTTTGATGATGGTATATATCAAAATCCAAGCTGTCCCTTTCAAAACTTCGTGCTTCAGGCACCAGCCCAAAAAATATATTTATCTCAATGAGTTACTGCAGAAAGGTCAGATTCCTGTCAACAACTAGTAAGTTGTACAGATATACTGACAGTATCAGGACCTGCTAAATTAAAAATGGCATGTTTATGATTAACACCTGCTTTAACATGGGGAAAAAGAAAAGTCTCATACTGAAGAGTCGCATTAAAAATCAAATTGCAAGAAAGATCCTAAACTGGACCTGTAAAATACAATATGCTACTTGGAAGAATATATTTTCTTCTCTGCTAGTCTGATTTTCATCTTTTAATTTATCAGATAATTTCATGATAGAGAAGTACTACAAAAGACAGTCAAATGTTCTCTAGTCCCCTTTGCAGTTATTTCAGCTGCCAAGAACTTTTAACACTTGAAAAGACATGATAGAGTGGATTCAGAAAAGGAGATGTTGGTTAAAAGTAAGCTTATATTCTCATACATATTCCACCATCTTGGTATAGCAATAAATTAAAAGCTTACAAAATGAGTGATGCTGACCTGTGCCATGTATCCTAATTCAAGGTAATAGAGCTAGATGACATTATTAAAATATTGATTGCACAAAACAAGATTTTTACTGAAAAAATTAATTTTAATCTCTAAATTTGGAGAGAGAGAGAGATAGATAGATAGATAGATAGATAGATAGATAGATAGATAGATAGATAGATAGATAGATGATAGAGATTCAGTGACATTTGTTGTCTGAATCTATATATCAATATTCAGCGTATATTCAGTTTTTATTAAAACAAACTTGACTTTAATCGAGAAGTTCATGCAGCACGTTGAGCAAACACTCATTATTTCCAGACTTTTTATTTTTTTATTTGTTTGAATATTAAGGAAAACATTTAAACTATCACTGAATGAATAGATTAGATTTTAAGGCCAATCTTAAAAGATCAATAGCCACAAATGCTGTGGAATTAAACAGTCACATTTCTAAATCACACCTTTTTGGATACCTGATTCCTTCATTCATTAGATTAAAAGGAATTTGATCAAATAGCAGGGATATTTATTCTTCCTACTGTTGTACATATAAGAATTCAACAGAGCACTCTTTTATTTGACTAGCTGATGGTTGTGAAAATAATTATGTTTGGTATTTATTCTAGCACATGCATATGAAGGATTGGTTAAATGATTAATTCTCACCTTTTTTACAGTAATCTGTTGCATATTTTACTTCTTTGCTAACCATAGGTTGCTGGAACCAGTTTAAAAACCTACAGTCCTTCTGCAACAGCAGGAAAAATCGCATAGCAGCCCTCAACAATACTTACAATTATGCTGTGACCAGAATGACATTTTTCTAAAGCACTGATCAATTATTACTTTTAAATTGAGTGTATCTGACTTGAAAAACAAACCAAAACCAAAAACCAAACAAATGAAGGAGCAAAACAAACAAATAACAAATAACAAAGAGAAAAAAATCTAAGTCATCAATCTGACCATAGAATACAAATTCAGTAGACCACTTAACTTGGGCAAATGGCCTTTTACATTCTTGATGTCTAACATGAAAACATCCTAAAGTAAATTAAAAATTGTATTATTTGCCTTACGACTTGTGTATTTTTGAAGTCTACAAAAGAACACTATGCACTACCTAGATTAGACATAGGCTTAGGTTTGCAAGAGCAGACTGTTCAGATCCCTCCCACAAAAATAAAGGGACAAGTGGACAGGGCAACAGAAAGACATTGATAAAAGGAAGAAAATGCTTCAAGAAATAAAATTATTCTTATTCAAATATTAAATTATCTTGAAATATTTATGATTTTAATAAGTTTTCATCAGTGGCTGAAGCTTTTATAATCTATGAATTTCTGTAAAGTTACTTCAAAACAATATATGGTACAGAATATAAGATATGTAATCAAGTATTAGCAAACTAAATATATCTTACTGGAGTAAAGTTTTCCCTAACATATTGATCCAAACCCAGGCATGCTTATAACATTTATGCTGGTGAAATATCTTTTAAGTAGAAATACTTAAACATTTATTCTAAAATATGATGTGCTATTTGTAGAGGCATAATTTTTATTGTGAGTAAATAATGTAGTAGTGACTTAAAGACAGTCTCCTCTGTTGCTCCTTGGAATTTCTTCTGGGATGAAGGGAATGTTCCTAAATAATTCTTCCTTTCTAATGCTGTAATTAAGACTTTTTATATACGGGCATCAGGGTTCTGCAGAATACTGTAATGGTTATTTTAGAGCAGTTTCACCTACTACTCTAATTTGTAATGCATGCAAAAGGTAAGGCTAGATGAAACACTAGTAGGTCCACTTTGTGTCTTCTATCCCTGCTGTAGTCTGCTGATGTAGGATTTGAATTAAAAATTTGGACTCAATGCGTTCAACAGCTTCTTATTGTGAATGGATATTTTTCTGTTAATATCTATAGCTGGAAAACTAATTGTCTTCATTTTAACTCCTAACTGTCTTCCTCCTAGAGAAGTAATTATATCACAGACTCATAGAATATGCTGATTTGGAAGGGACCCAAAAGGATCATCAAATCCCTTTCTTGGCCCTACACAGGACATCCCAAGGGTCATATCATGTGTCTGAGAGAATTCTCCAAACACTTCTTGAGCTCTGTCAGGCTTGCTGCTGTGACCACTTTCCTCATGTGAAAAAGTGACTGCTCAATATAAACCTGTAAATTCTTGCTGTGGGAACTGGCTCAGTTTCTTTAGCCAGTCACACAGAAATACACTGTACTCCTACTAGCCCTGCAGAGACCACATAGGCGCATAAGAAGCAATTTTTTTCTCTCCTGTCAGACTAGCAACTAAGAATAGTTAACCAGCCTCTGAATGCTCAACACCACCTTGACTTGTGCTAAGGTGCACTTCTAAGAAACACTGGCCTTGAAATATTAGCACCACTGAAGTCCAGTAGATGCTTTAACAGAGCACAGCTGGGAAACTGGCAATTAAGAGACAAGTAAAGGTATCAATCTAAGTGATTTCACTTGTTAACAGAACATGTTTTTTTCAGGAGTTGCAGGGATAATAAAACTGATATAGTAAAATAAAAATTTAAAATGCTCATTCTATGAATTTCTAGAATTAATGTGTACTTCTTTATACTTCATATGGAATTTTACTTTCACTGAAGGGTAAAGAGAAGTACTGGGGAAGGAAAACAAGATGACAAACTGTGGAGAAGGAGTCCCCAGACCAAAAAAAAAACAAAACCAAAACAAAACAAAACCCCAAAAAAATCAAAACAAAAACAAAACAAAACAAAACACCAAAGAAACCAAAATCAAGCAAAAAATATTTCTCTAAATAGTAGATTCTAAGAAAATTCCTGCAGAGGTAATATTCATATTTTCATTCTATATCACCACTAGAATGATTGTTTTAAAATAAACCCTACAAAATACCTGCATATAAATATTTGAACTACGCAGGGGATTAAATGAAAACATAGGACTGTCTTGTGACTACAGTCAGATTAAAATATTTATTATGAACTATAAATTTAGTCTCTCAAAATTCTTTGCAGCTTTATATTTTCTTTAAAATTTTTATTCACAATCCTAAATAGAACATTAAAAATCATCCATGTTTATTTACTTACGTGTACTTCTTCAAAATATTAAAAACAACATTACCATTCTTAGATATTATTGTAGAACTCAATGAAATATAAAAGCTAACTCAATTTTCAAGAAAATTCGTGAATGGCCTTTGAAAAAAAGAGATGCTTCAAAAATTATGATTTACTTTTTGAACTTCATCTAAGCACTCCTCAGACTGTCAACTTATCATATTACTTTTTAAATAGTAGAATATTCTTAGCAATACCTGTTTCCAGTTAAAATCATACGAGCTATGTAAGCACATGTACTGAATTTACTATTATTCTATAGAATTTAAGTTTTGAAGAGATGTAATAATGCAAATGTGTTTGACTTAGATATGATTATATGAGGTAACGTGCTATGTTTATAACTCCACACCTCTGTAATTTAGAACTAAGTTTCTCAAAAAATATACAAAAGGTTGATATATAGCAGAATTCACCATGAAAATTTTTAGATTATTCTGTTTATACCACCAGTGATTTACTAAGATAACTGTTGTGTTTTCTTGTAGCTCTGGGACTAAAATGTTGGATTTTTGCTATTACATCTATTTGTTGAGAGAAAATAATTTGAAGAAAAATAACAAGTTTGAGAGAACTATAAGGCATAAATATATGCACATATTAATAGGAAAAAATATATTATCTTCTCTTGTTTTATCTATTTCCATGCAGGGAAATTAACTCTTACTTTTTGTCACCTAAACTTCAGAACTAAACTGAAATAAGTTAAGAAAAACACATCAGCATTAAACCTCACATTTTAAATGCTGTTATGAATTGCCAGGTTGAATTGTTATGTGGTTCTAATTAGTGAAAGCTGCTTTCCATCAATTTCAAATGTCACTCCATTTAAAATTTCAGTTTAATAGATACCACTTATGCAAGGCTTGGAAGTCAGGAAAGAAAAAAATAAACCAAACAAGCAAGCAAAAAGAATAATTTAAAATATCTGTTTTCCTTTCTATACACATGCTTTTCCTGAGAAAGTTTAAAAAGACAAGGAGCCTTACTTTTGTATTCCAGGTGAAAACCAGCTGCTGCCACACTAATGTCGGAGTGAAAATGAAGGTAAAGTTGATTGGAGGTGCTATTTAACAATGCTGGCACAGTTGTACCTGGAAAATAAAAGTTATGGAATAAACTATAGCATGCTGATCGGAGTTTTGTATTGAAAGGACATAACCAGGACTGAGTCGGACAGGCTTATTTTTTTTTCATTACATGGGAATCTCAAATATTTTGCTGTGCTCTGCCTTCTTTTCTCCTGAAGTTGCAGGAAAAGTTTGATTACAAGCCATTACAGTAAAAGTCTATGTAAGTAAAATCAAACAAGATCCCATCATGTTTAGAGGAAATCTTATTGACTTGGACAGAAAAAAGATGTAAAGAGAAAGAAAAAAACCCACATAAATAAAGGATTTGATTATGACAACTCATATGGCTCAACTGCCATTTGCAAATGTGTTTCCCCACGTTTCTATAAAACCCACAATACAAAACAAAGCAGTCCAGATTTTTTCTGTGTGTACTTCCCACAACAATATTTAAACTGCTTATGCTAATTCAGAGGATATGACAGAAAATGAAGAAGCAGGTGCAACACTTTAAAAACCCCCCGAAACAACAAAAAATATACCAGCTTTTCCTAATTCAAATATCTATAATAAAACTGTGTATGCTACACAACAAGCTTATCACTTACCCAGGGTACATTCTTTGCCACTGGAATTGCTAAGCCTGACAAACACTTATTTTATTAACACATGATACCATGTAACTTATATTCTAATGTCTAAAGCTGGAAGAACCACTGAGGCTAAAAATTACATCATTTTCTATGACTACCGTCAAAGACAGTATCAAGTAGTTAATGAACGTCAATGGTGGATGCATAAGAAAAATTCTCTTTTTCTGTGGGGCATTTTCTGATTCTATAGTAACTGTGAGCAGCCTAGGTATAAGCCTGAAACTTGGACCTAAAAAGAAATGCTAAAAGAATTATCTTCCTAAGTCTACAGTCTAAACTAGGAACAGGTAAATATTTCTAAATCTAAATCATTAATTAAGCAAAACCTTGCTATATAAATAGAGGACCTGAAAGATGACAAGTTGGCCTTTAAGGAATGTGTTTACTGTCTGACACAAAAATTTTGAAAAAGCATCAAAATTCAGACAGTAAGAGCACTCACATCACGCAATATTACTCTGCAGTACAGAAAATAGCAAAGCATCTTCCTGGAAGATGGACTTTTCCTAGTATCTTTTAAGGAAAACTCCCTGTCTGACCATCCAGACAGGATGGTGACACTCTCACCACCAGAGACTTTCACAGCAGGGACCAGAGCCCCTTCACAGTGGGCAGCTCCAGTGATCTGTCCAGTCCCCATTTCACTCCCTGCACACCCCACCCTCCCAGTCAGACCAAGTTTCCTCATGGATTTCACCCTGGGTCTCCCGCATCAGTCTCAGATGCCTCATCCCATAATGCCATTTATTCACAGTGCACTTACACTGAAAAAAGCTCAAGCTGATGCCTCTGAGGAGAATCCCAGCCAAGAAGCCGCTGGGCTTTTACACCCTCACAGTTTTACCACTCACAAAAATCTCTTTCTCCCTTGATCTCAGCTCCTGCCATATCTCTGAGTGTCCTCTCACCAGGCTGAGCCACAGGTCCCTGGGGCCCTTGCTGTGCAAGGTGTTGGCAGTTCAAGGCCTCTTGCCTCAGGCTGTATCACTCAGAGATCCATGAGCAGCTTGAACTGCAGGTGCTCATGCAGCTACCAGCACCAACTGTACTCCTCAACAGTATCCATAAAATATTTGACATATATTTAAGGATGTTTAAGGTGTCCTGTAACAATGAGGGTGTTAACTCATAATAACTATTATATTCTTTAATGAGCAAAAGTCACTGGGCTGTTCTGTTCCTTCATAGGATCTGGTAACATTTAACACCAGTCTTTTACTTCCTTAAACGGTGGTATTCAACAAGATGAGAAGTTAGATCCTATTATACTGTGGGAAATAAATGAGGCTAGTTTTTAATTCTCATAATTGCCACATTCAGTGGCATCATTCAGGCTGGCTATCTGTCACAAATGGAACCCCCAGCGACTGATACTGGTCCCCATACTGCTCTAATATCTTCAGAAATTAGTTGGTTGGTGGGATTGAAAGTACCCTCACCAAGTTTGGTGGTGACACGGAACTGAGTGGAGGGGCTTACATGTCAGAGAGACCTGGAGAGACTAAAACAATAGACTATCAAGAGCAGTATGAACTTTAACAGAGACAAGTGCAAAGCCCTGCATGTCTGTTAGAATAAGCAGAAGAGCCTCCTACAGGCTAGGATTTGTGTGGCTGGGGAGCAGCCTTGCTGAAAGGTCCTGGGACTGTCGCAGTGGGCAAGCTGAATATGTGTCAGCAGCGCACTGCTGCAGCAAAGATGGCAAATAGGTTCCTAAGCTTCATCCAGAGGGGCATTATGAGAAGAGGCAGAGCATGCTGCTCTTCTCAGCACTTGTCAGGCTGCGAGTGGACTCTTGTGTCCCATTCTGGTCCTCACAATGCAAGAAGGATAAGGATAGACTGGAGAGGTCCAAAGGAGAACCATAAAGATGATCAAAGGCTGGAGAATTTACCCTGTGAGAAAAAACCAAAGGAGTTAGGGCTCCTATTCCTGTAGAAGAGGAGGCTCAGAGGGGATCTCATCACATTATTCCAGTACCTAAAGGGTTTCTCAGTTCACTGGGAGCCACAAGGAGAAGACAAGGGGCAAGAGATCCAAGATGCATAGGGGAGTGTTTCATCTTAGCATTAGAAAGAACGTTTTTACAGTGGGAACAACCATGCCCTGCAGCAACCACCCAAGCAACAAAGTGGAATCCCCATCACTGGAGGTTTTGAAGATACAACTGGACAGAGTGCTGGACAATATAATCTAAGCTCTCTTTCCTACAAAAGGTTAAACTACGTGATCTTGTGAGGTCCTTCCCAGCCTGGATTGTTCTATGATTTTATGATTCTATGATCTAACTGGATCACTACTGTTCACTTGCTAACCCCTGCCTTTTCTGGGATTGGGTATATGAAGCATGGAAGATATGTTTCAGTGTGGTAACCAGATGTAGTGTCCTAATTGTTTTGAGCTTCCTTTCCTGTCAATAGAGAGAAATCATACTTAACGGGCAGGAGCAGATATCATTGATGATAGAATAAGTGTAGATATTGCCATGCTAGAGATGTGTAGATATCTAATGCTCATGTAGACAGATACCATGGTAGGATACTGGGAGTTTTACAGACTTCTTAACCTTTTGATTGAGAATCTGTAGTCTGGAAAATAGGCAACTCTCCTAGGAGGCAGTAAATGCACACAAGTTTTGCCTAAAGGCTTAAAAAGTAAAGAGGACTGATAGGTTTTCTATTTAAATGTTCCATTATGGTATTATTACAGAAGATTGTATCCTTTTCAAGTATCAGCAATGGCAACAAAGAGTAATGCATCTCATTCCAGAGGTAAACGCTACACTGACTGTGTGAAAGTCTGTTTAACTATCTAAGAAATTTCCATGCCAAGATCAGAGATCAATGTTCATTTTAAGCATTTCTTGGATTAGCACAAGCATACAGCATGGATCACATTACCTAATTTCTTTCTAAATTGAATCACCATCATAAGAGTACATTATCCAGATGTCAACCTCAATGGGTATGCTGTATTTGCATTCTCTGTCTGTATATGTCTATGCACACACATATATATGTATGTATTCAAAGGCAGGATCTGCTCTACACATCATGCAGCCAATGCTGTATAGAGAAGAGGCCTGAGCTGAGCACAAGGACCTCAAACACATAATCTCAGTCATCCAGGAATCTTGGAAGTGATTCGCCAAAAAGAAACAGATTCAGTGAATTCACCTTTCCAAGTCAAGTCTGTGACATAATTAGCACAATTTAGTCAGTTTTTAGTAATTGTACACCTTTACCTCTTGAATGTGTGTTTAAAAGACAGAGGAATCCACAGAGAGTAAATCAGAAGACAATGGTTTCATAAAAGATTTAGTAAGAGAGAAATTTTACCACTCATGAAATCATGCCTGGAATTCAGTTTCAACGTCACATCACTGGTTCAGTTTTGAGAACAGAAGATTTCATGCCCTCCTTACATATTCTTTCCCATGCAAAAATATAGCTCTTCATTTTAAGTCTGCCATTCATTACACTAGAGACAAAGCCACAATAAATCCATGCTACTGTATCTCCAATTAAATATTTCTAACACAAAAAGCTGTCTTTTTCAATTTCCCTGAAAAGTAGGAAGGCTTTTAAGCTAAAGTAAGATGACACACTTAATTTGTGGAACAAGGAAGAGTTTTGATTCTTGAGTATTGTTGAAATAGAGTATTGTTAAATGCATAATTTCATCTCTTCTTCATCCAATGGGGCCAATGTATTTGCCATATAATTCACTTCCAAAAGTAGATTTATTTTCATAATTTCTTTTCCCTTATTTACCACACAGCCCTGTTACTAGTTTGAAGTATTTCTGAGCAGCACTTAGACAGTGCCATGGCCTTCTCACACCATCCCACCAGTGAGCAGGCTGGGGATAGCCAAGAATCTGGGAGGTGACACAGCCAGGACACCTGCCCTTAACTGACCAAAGGGATATGCCACACCTTATGGCATTGTATTCATCAGAAAGTTTTTGAGCTGATTCTTCACTTCCTTACTAATCCAATATGCATCTATACTTTAAAAGTTACTTAATCCCTTTCTCTTGGTTTGGTTTACAGAACACACTCATTCTATTAAAAAAATGTCCCATATAAAAAAAGAAAAGTGTATGTGCTAGATGTACATTTTAAACAACTAATTATCTGTTTTTGTTATATCCCAGTTGTTTTATTCAGTTTGTTCTGTGAGGTCTGGTGGGTTTAGATGAAGATTGAATTCTTCATCTCTTTCATGAGAAAGGCAGGCTAATAAAGATAACTTAAGTCAAAGCTATCAAAGGAAGACCCTTGAATGTCAGTGCCAGCTTATATCACAATATCTCCTCTATGAGAAGGGCAGGAAAGATAAAAGAAAGGGGTTTTTTTAAGTAATTTATCAACTAAATTCCACTAATCAAAGTTAAATATTTTATTGTCATATTTTCTTCTGAAAACCTCTTTGAATTTGAATATTGACATGTTTACACCACCTGAAGTCTCCCAGAAATGAGAACATCTATTAACAGTATCAGAAATGATGGAATACGTACTTCTTGCCTATATGTGTGAGTAAATAAAGACATATTCTCCCACATACATATAAATACAAAACTGTGTCTTTAAATCACGGCATATCCTAACCTGAAAAGCTCCCAAGTCGCGGTGCTGTCATATCTCCACCGTCATATATTTCAAGGGAGTCCCAATTATGTTCAGTGGCAAAGCTGATGACCTGGATCTATAAAACAGGACCATAGAACCTTTTTAGGACAACAAGCCATGGGCATTTTTAAATGTTCTAAACCCAACAAAATGAAAAGAGAACACGTAGCAAAGAAAAGAGATCCAAACAAAAGAAACATCAGTTAAAAAAATGTACATAAAAAAATCAATATTCAGTTTTTGCATTGTATTAACTCTTTGAAAATATGACATTAGATAAGTAAGAAGGATTTTGCTTATATGTTGCATCATTATAAATAATTACTCAAAGGGTAAATGAGCGGATAATCAAGATAGCTTCAGAGCTCTCAAGGGCCTCAATAATACCATAGCAGATAGAAAGAGTTGGTATTTGCATATCAGATTGAAGGATCAGGACCTGCTTTCAATATACTACACAATTAAAACAGAAAACAGCTTGTTAATAATTTCTCATTCATACCCCCATGTGAAAATAAAATAACATCAAATAAACTAACCAAGGAAAAATAATGAGAAATACAGAGCACTAATATTTCAAGTACTCCACCCCCTCAATTACAGGATTACTAATTTATGAAATTTTTAGAGAAATAACCAAAACAAAGTATTTAATATTCCATGCTTGACAGAATACAGACTTGCCTGAATACCTGATCCCTCAGTCACTATGATTTTCCACACACAATTCAAGCTGTTACCATAAGGTTCAGGGTAACCTGGTGAAAGAATAGTACCTCTGCGCTCAGTAAAATTCCCACTGCATGGCACTGAAAGAAAATATTACCACAGATTATTACACAACTTAAACTACTTTAGAGAACAGAGAAATAGTAATAATTTTACTAAGATCAAGATAATTATAATAATTTAATTTTGTAGCATAAACACATAGACATGAAGCAATCATCTGAACTTAGAATGAATCTTATATAAAATATATTAATGATTTCAAGCATGAGACAACCTGACTGAATAAACAATTCAGAAATGACCTTCATTTTGCATGTGTACAGCTTAAAACAGCCCAGCATCAGAGCCTAATCACGTCATACCTTAGAGTAACAACAAACTGTAGACATAACATTAAACACAATCATGATTCACAGAAATCATGTGAATTTACCCGCAGCTCAAGACAGTTCCAATATTGAATCTAGCTGATAAAGCAGTGTATTACATTAAATATTTTTGCTATATACACCCTTGCTTCCTTAAGGTTAAAGAAAACAGAACAAAAAAAATATATAAAACCGAGAATACACAGAAAATAGGATACCTATATTTATTTTTAGAACATTCTAGTTAATTCTAGAGTAAAATTCTAGGAATAGCAATGACTTTTGGATATAAATCCAAAGAGGGAAACCATAAAACATTTCAATATTTACAAATAAATACTTTGGAGTGCTAAGCATTATTTCAGCACAGGTCTATTGACAGATTAAGAAAATTAGTTATACCTAACAATGCTATCATTATTCAATGTGCACTATGCTTTTGCTTGAGAAAGGAATCATCCTATGTGTGATAGAAATACACAACAAGTACTGTGTAATAAAACAGGCAAAAGCACTTCTGGAGAATAAATTCTGTCCTGTATTTCAAGCTGTAGATAAGTCATGAAAATAATGAATGTTCAAGAAAATGTGCATCACACTTGTTCATATAATCTAAATCATTATATGAAACAATATACTGCCTATGAGCCAGCTGGTACTCAATTATTTCTTGATATGGAAAACTGCTTTTTTAAATTGGGCATGACTGATATTAATCGAAGGAGAGTGACTATATGGGTTAAATATTATTTTCTGAAACAATTCCTGATTCCTCATTCAGAAACATGTGACAGAACAGACAACGTAAATGTAATTGCTTACCTACACAGCTTGGTACGGTGTCATTCCACTGAGCTAAGGCATTTGGTACAGACTGACACCGGATAGCTTTTGAGCCTTGTAGCAGATAGCCAGGACTACATTCAAATCGAACAACAGAGCCTGCTGAAAATTCAGAGCCAATTCTCCTTCCATATCTAGGCTCAGGAACTGAGCTACACTGTGTATCACTTGTGCGTGGAACAGCTGAACAAAGAAAGGAAAATATAAAGTCATGAATACAAATGACAGTCATAATAAAAAAATTTAAAAAAATAGACTAGGAAGAAGGCTGACTGTTTCTTGTATGACAGAGCTTAATTCATGTTACTTGCTCTGCTCCTGTATTCTCAAAGAAAGGATTAATACTTTCATGGCTATTAGCTGCTTTCATGGCTATTAGCTGGAATGGGGTTTTGCTCTGTGCCTGTGTACAGTCATGTGAGTGCCACGGCAGCTTGGAGACCTTTAGACTTTGGATGCACAGCTTTAGGCATGAGAAGATCAGTGGGTGTTTCTGCAGCCCTCTTCAATGACAGGATAGTACATCTACCACCTACTTCACTTAATAAATATGGGGCTTTTGGCTTATCACTAGAACTTTTTTCAGGAAAAATTTATGGTGTAACTAATCAGATACAAAGACAACATAATATCTTACAAATATTTGATTTATTGTATTGAAGAATATGAAGTGACAACAATACCCACTTCCAGGATATTTCAGTGTTTTCTTTTGACAACAATTATTTTTTACCAATAATGTTTGGGAATTCATAAACCTGATGTGATACAAGAGCAGTTAAAAGGCTGCAAGTAATATATAAAGTGCAAAATAATAACATGTGTTAGAAGCCCATGGGATTGTTTTCTCTTTGGCTTCATTATTTATAAACACTTATTGATAACAGGTATTTTTTATACCTATTCACTGTTGCTATTTTGCATGTTGTTCATGTATCACACTTGTCCTTACTACATTTCATTTTGCAGTTAGCTAGTAAATGCCAATTTAAAAACAAACTAAACATATTTATATAGAAAATAACAGAGGCATAATTTGTGTGCGATATCATCTATGTTTTATAGTATAATAAAATAATGGTACATTAAAAATAATCTCATTAAATATATGTAATTTTTCTGTGTGAGTGGCATGTTTAAAATTTTTGTTTAATCAGCTTGGTTTGTTCAAGAATTAGTTTTAGAGCATCACTGCATCTAGATATGAGTAACACCATGAAATTTGATTGCTTTGCAGTCCTTAAATAAACAATACAAAATGACACCAAGGAGAAATAAAAAAAAAAGAAGGTGGGTGTTACACTTTATTCCTGGGAAATTATCAAGGATGGTGCTTCTGGCTTACTAATATAAACAGAATCACAGTTATATTTAGTTTTATTTTACAGCACTGTGTTTAAATTCCTTTGCTAACCCGTAAGAGTGAAGAGTGATATTTCTATCTGTTCATGGGCACAGCTGTGCACATCCCCACCGTGCCTATTCAGCTACCCTGGTCACTACCTAAAAGACAAGGCATATAGAGCCTATAAATATTTATTTTAATATTGATGAGTTTATGCTCATCCTATGTTTTATACTGTTATTTATTCTATTCAGAATAGTAAGTTTTAAGTACTTATAAATGCTCTGAAAATTAACATTTCTTAACAAGTTGGCTACGGAACACTAATTGAAATAAATTCAATCTTAAATCTAGCATTAAACATGCCACACATTTTAGCAGAGCATTGAAAGTTGTCATTTATGATAACATTATGTTCTACCAGTTTAAGCATTGCTACCAGATATAATAGTTAAGTTTGTCCAAGTATTACTGAATGTAGAGAAAATATTTTTCTAAAAAGATTTAGAAATGATTAATAGTAGCAATAATGGGAAAATACATTATCTTTTTTATTAATATGCAATGAGTTGATTTGTCAGACAAGGTCAGAGAGATGCAGTAACACGTATTTTTCTTCTAAATCGGTACATTGGTTTGTTGGAGATGATTTTAACCTTGGAAGCTACAGAAAGTTGTGAATTGTACTCACAATGTAATAAATGGTCAGAGGTAAACTAGAATACTCCTAGATAAATGCACAGTATGGAAAAACAAAAGCAAATCCATTTTATTGGTTTTTTTAAAAGGTTAAACCCCTTACACAGTTTAAACAAACAACGTACCTTTCAGCAAGCTTTATGTTCCTGCCTTTGTTCAAATAACTAGGACTTTGTGATTAAGTTCTCAACAGGACCTCAGTATCACACAGATGCTCTATGAAACTTGTCCATGCATGCAGTTCTAACCATGGAAGGAAACTGTTCTGTACTTGTGGAAGAAAAATGATGAAACCATATTTCAAGGATTTCACACAGTCACAGTTCTTCCTGATCATAACCTGCAGGCCACATGGAGACTGCCAGGTCAATTCAGCTGACCCAGCTTGCTCTTTTTTGCCCTTTTATTTGGATTAATAGGCTGCACTATTTTACTCAAGCCTTTTATTCCATGTTATTGTATTATGATTACACTGGAATAAATGATGAATTTACAACTGCCTACATGATGATGGCTGCTCACACATCCAATCTCATGACTGTCATATGCCTGGAGCTATGATATGTATACAGCTTCCATGTAATTAAGCATTAATCCATCCCTTGGTCAGGGCTACTAGTTCAAATGGGCATTTTGGCCATGAGATAAATAATTCACAATTATGTGACAGCAGAGGGCTCAGGACATTGTTGTGGTCAAACCAGTTTTGATTCAGGAAGTTAATACTTAATTTTACTTAATTTATTACCAATTTTACACAAACTTCTGATCAGTGATTCAGGAATTAAAAAGAAAGAGGATACAAGCAATCAAGTAAGTTAACTAAGCAATTTTACTTCATTCTCATCAGGCTCAACTTCAAACACCTATCCTCCCATTCTTTTTTTCAACTTCGTTGTGTCTATCCTTATTGTTCCAATGAGGTGAGAGGAAGCACAAGAATGGGGTATATGCTCTCTTTTTGCTTTCCCCTACCTCCCCTGCCAATGTGCTTAGCATTTTACTCATCTTTCTCCTCCTTTTTGCTGCTTCAGGTTTCCACATCACCCTGTTTCTGAATATTTGTTCTTCAGCATGGGTCATGCTTGGGATACAGTTCCTCAAAGATGTCCCCTACTACAGAATAGTACTTTCAGAGGCTGCCAACCCCTCTGAGATGTTCTCACTGCAGCAGGTGTCACCCACAGACCATAGTCCCTTTGGAAGTACAGGTCCTTTGGCAGGAGGGCCTCTTTCCAAGAGTGCCTCCAACAATCCCTCCAGCAGCATCTCTAGCAGCACGTACCCAGAAGCATCTCTGCCCCAAAGCAGTTGTCACTCTTAAATATTTCTGAGTACAGGCATCACATGTTCCTCTGAATAGTGTGAATTTTGGCATGTGAGAGATGGCTTATACCAGCTTCACAGGATGCTGTTTGTGAATGGCATGTGGTAGCTCACAGCCTCCTCCCACACAGGTCACCACCTCAGTCACCTGCTAGTTAAACCTTTACCTTCTCATAAGTCCAAAGCTTATCTGTCTTACTTAACAGGCAACATGACCTGACTGACAATTTCAGCATCACTCCTGGAGTATTTTCCATTCACTGTGTGGAAGAAACTCTTGCTCAGCCTCCTATGGGAATACCATCTTTCCCTATGTATTTTTTTCACTCAATTTTTTAAGAGGGAGGAAACTATAGGAAAAAAAGCCTTCCTATTTCTCTAACCCTTGCCTAGCAACTCATCTGAAGAATCCCTACAAGAGTTGTGCAGGCAAAGGACACTTTTAACAGTGAGATTTAAGAACATCCTATAACTTTCAATAATAGCATTGGGAAATTTGCATACATGCAATAGTAATCCATACTTTTTTGTTGTAACGAGACCTTTTAGCACCTCTCAACAAAGAATGTCAGATCATCTGTTTTCATTATAATATTGCCCTCTGAAAGCTATTTTCCTGTGAGCATGCTATCTCTAATATGATAGCAAATGTAGGGGCAGTTTACTAGCACTCTTAAATTAGTTCACACACCAGAAATACTTTTTCAGACTAAAAGCTGACATTTTACTGAGATCAGCCCTGACAGCCACAAACATCCATGGCTGCAGTTGTATCAAATTATTCTGTTGCCAGCAAGAAACACCCAATGACATTTAAAATTGACATTTTGCTCAGTTTTTCAGAAGTTTTACTAATACACTGTTAATGGTTACTGTGAGACAAGAAATGCTAAAGATACAAAATCACCATGAGGTACTATCTTTTTTTTAATCCTCCTCTCTCTCCCCATTTTAAAAAGAACTGCCTTAAGAAGAGATGCAACACAAGCTATTGATAACAACAAAGTAAGGTAATTCCACTGTGCTTATAATGGGATTTAAATAGTCCATGTAAAAATGTAGTACATTTGCTAACACCTATAAAAAGTTAGGAAAATAGTTAATTTCTCTAAAAGGTGACACAGCTGACAGCTCAACTGAAATATCTCCAAGTTTATTTCAGTTGGAAGAGACCTACAGCAGCCATCTAGTCCAACTGCCTTTACAATTCAGGACTGACCAAGTAAAAACATGTTTTTAAGGGCATTTTTCAAATCCCTCTCAAACACTGACAGGCTCAGGGCATCAATCACATCTCCAGGATGTCTATTTTAAAGCAGGACATAATGTGTCACGGTGGCACATATAAAAAGTAATACTAACAGTCTAAGTTCTGCTCTCTAATTACATTTAGCAGTCAATGTGGGGTTGTGCATTCAGAAATTAGATCATCTTGATTGTTAAAGTCACAATCTTTTTTTACTCTTATTTGCCTTTGTCTTCTTCATCCTAGCATACTAACTTTCTTAATAATCGTCTTTAAAATCTCAATTGACCTAATAAACTAGTTCATGCATTTATGCTGCATAACAAGTAAAAAGGAAAAATATTAACACCCCATAAATGTTTGGACAGTAGAAAGGTAATTACTTTACATTTTAAGGAAGGAATTCTGTACTGCTGCAGCCTGGGTTACATAAAATAGAGGATCTTTTTTCTTAGGTGATGTCATAGCAGGAAGACAAGCATAAGAAAGCCTGAAAAAAAAAATCCCAGTCTTCTTACATATGATTGTTCTTTTTATTTTTCAACTGATATACCTGACCCTAATATTTTGGAAGACTCGATATTCATTCAGTCTCATATTAGAGGCACTCTTTACCTATTGCAATAACTAC